AGATAACTAGTTTATTGTCCCAATTGAGCTATCCTGATGTCCAATATTGTTTGACATTTATAAATTTTGTCAATAAATTGTGAAATATATATTATTTTTTCAGGTGGACTTTCCGTTCCGAGTGACTGACTTAGAGCATGCCATCATTAATCTAAAGTCACAGTCCCCAATCCTACTACTGGGTCGGAGTGGAACAGGCAAGACAACCTGCTGTCTGTACAGACTGTGGACCCAGTTCCTATCCTACTGGACTAAAGCAACAGAGGCTGAGGCCCCGCTCCTTCCCAGGAGTTCGGTCAACAGGACAACGGAGGAGGACGGAGGTCAGTCTAAGCTGATATTTATAGTAAAACCTCATCATACCATTTGTCCAGAGAAAGTTAAGCGTTATAATAATAATAATGCTTTATTATTTATAGGAGGTCACTCCATTAGTTACAAAACTATATTCTCCCTTGAGGCCTTCTCTACAATCTATGGCAATAATATATACAGAGTAATAGCATTAAATATATGAATATAAATTCAGGTATAATCAAAGGCAACATTGCATAGAATTGAAATACAATTCTAGCATAATTACAGCCAAACATGTTGCTGTAAAATGTATAGTAAATTAATTGTACAGGGACACAATGTAATTATATTATCAATACTTAAATATGAAATCAAGAAGCATATACATAGTAATTTACAGACAACATTGCAAAGGGCCGGGTTTGATGATAAATTAAGGGTAATTTAAAAAAGAGAAAAGGGAGGTATGGAATATGTTGGCGATGAACGAGGCGGCAAATGAAAGGAGAGGAATTATGACAAGGTTTTACTTTACATCGTGGTTATTGCCACGTTTTCATAAATCATTATTTTAATTTGTGAGTGCCTAAGGAATATATCTGTCAAAAACATTTGTCATAAATCTGTACGAAATGTAGCTCTGAAATTTTACAGAACCATTAAGTATTACTTGTACAATTTCAAATTGCTACATTTCATATTTTGAACCATCCTCGATATCCAGGGGTTTGCTCACTTACTCTCTCTGCACCCCTGGAATATGTCATGACAAAATTGAAGGCACAAAGATAGCTGTTTGATTGGTCTCTGGTAACAAAACCTGACCAATAGCGAGCCTGATACCTGTCCTTTGAAAACTACTGTTGTGTGACCGTGAGCCTCCATTTTGCTAATACATATTCCAGGGGTGCAGAGAGCATAAGTGAGGGTAGCACCTGGATATTGAGGATGATTTTGAACTTGCAGAGGAGAGGCTTAAAGATACATCCATTTATAAAAAAAAAAAAAAAAAAAAACCCCACTTGTCCAATGTTTCCAAGGAAAGTATAATCTATAGTTCTTGAATTTTTAGGTCACCTGAGCTTTTAGCTCCTGAAAAAGTGTTGTTATTTTTCGGGTCGTTCAGAAATTAAATATGGCCGCCATTTTGAAAAACTATTTCAAACTTTAAGTCAAGTTCTACTGGGCCGATTGAACTGAAACTCGGTCTAGGAATGATCAGCTAATGGTCCTGACAAACTTAAGTTAACGTTTTACTTAACTATTTTTTACTAAAATTGGTACATATTTTAACAATAAAAATAAATACTGTAGGACTCCAGTGACCGTTAAGGTCCATGGGCCTCTTGTTATGGTACCTTTGACAATTCCTTGTTCAGTTTCAAGTATGCAGGAGTATCAATATATTATTTTTTACCTAGATTGAAAGTCTATACATATTTCGGTCTCGAAGGTAAACATTGATTTCAAATGTTTCCTTATGTTTATTTTCCTATGCTATTTGATTAGATGAAGAGGATGAAGATGATAATGAAGATGAGGAAGAGGAGGATGACCCCTTAGAGGAACTCCTCGGAGCGACAGTCGGGGCAGATGGCAAAGTAGTAGAGGAAAATGGAGAAGAAGTGGAAGGACAGATCTACGACCATCTCCATCAGATCTTTATCACAAAGAATGCTGTGTTGTGTAATGAGGTAAGGGAGGCAACTCTTGCGTAATATAAAGGATACATCTTCGATATTCAACATAATAAGACTAGGTGCTTCATGATTTTTAGCTCACCTGGCCCGAAGGGCCAAGAGAGCTTATGGCATGGTGCGGCGTCCGTCATCCATCTGTCGTCCATCCGTCGTCAACATTTTACTTTAAACAACTTCTTCTCAGTAACCAAAAGGCCTAGGATGATGATATTTGGCCAGAAGCATGCTGGGATGAAGGGCTACCAAGTTTGTTCAAATAAATGACCTTCATCCATTTTTAAGGTCACAGGGGTCAAATATGTTAAATTCGTTAAACAACTTCTTCTGAATAACCAAGAGGCATAGGGTGATGATATTTGGCCAGTAACATGCTGGGATGAAGGGCTACCAAGTTTGTTCAAATAAATGACCTTCATCCATTTTCAAGGTCACAGGGGTCAAATATGTTAAATTCTTTAAACAACTTCTTCTGAATAACCAAGAGGCATAGGGTGATGATATTTGGCCAGTAACATGCTGGGATGAAGGGCTACCAATTTTGTCCAAATAAATGACCTTGATTTATATTCAAGGTCATATGGGTCAAATATGTTTAAAACCTTTCAACAACTTCTTCTGAATAACCAAGAGGCATAGGGTGATGATATTTGGCCAGTAACATGCTGAGATGAAGGGCTACCAAGTTTGTTTAAATAAAGGACCTTGATTTATATTCAAGGTCCCAGGGGTCAAATATGTTTAAAACCTTTAAACGACTTCTTCTGAATAACCAAGAGGCCTGGTATGCCTAAATTTGGCCAGTAACATGCTGGGATAAAGGGCTACCAAGTTAGTTCAAATAAATGACCTTGGTTGATATTCAAGGTCACAGGGGTCAAATATGTTTAAATCTTTATACAGCTTCTACTGAATAATTGACAGGCCTAGGGTGATGAGATTTGTCCAGTAACATGCTGGGTTGAAGAGCTACCAGGTTTGTTCAAATAAATGACCTTGACTTATATTCAAGGTCATAGGGGTTAAATATGTTCAAATTAGTTAAACAACTTCTTTTGAATAACCAAGAGACCTAAGGTGATGATATTTGGCCATTAGCATGCTGGGATGAAGGGCTACCAAGTTTGTTCAAATGAATGACCTTGACCAATTTTCAAGGTCACAGGTGTCAAATGTCTAAAAATCTTCAAACAACTTCTTCTCAATAACCAAAAGGCCCAGGTACTGATATTTGGCCTGTAGCAATCAGGGCTACCAAATTTGTTCAAATGAATGACCTTGACCCACTTTCAACCTAATGTCATTGATTGTCATTCAAGGTCACACTGATATTCTGCCTGTAGCTGTATTTTAGTCCACTTTTTAGATTACAAGTGTGAGATTTATACCAGGTGAGCGATGCAGGCCCATTGGGCCTCTTGTTTGGAAATTAAAATAATTGCAGTACCTTTCATATTCTAAAAAAATTGCCTCAAAAACAATAATGAAGCAGGGTTCAACTTAAGTTGCAGATTTCTTGATACTTTGTGTAAGTTATAAATAGAGAATATAGTTTGCAATAAAAGGTCAACTTTAAAATTTTAGGATTCAAGATGGTGGACAAGGTTTCTTAATAGTTAGACAATAACTTGTTGATTCTTTGTAGGACTGATACAGATATGGTTGATATGCTTTATCTTTACCCTTTCATCCCTATGTAACGTTTAGTAGACTCTACCTTGCATTGATCTGGATGAATCCATTATGTTCTTCAGTGGGAATGAGTTAAATGGCCAACTGTTACATTTCAGAATTCAGGGGGGCTTCTGTGGGTGCTGATTGGATGATACATTATTAATTTCATTTCTTTAGAGATGGTTGGTAGATGTTAAATATGCGTGTGCCTGAGATTTCTAGTTTTGTTTGAACAGGTGCAAAAGAACTTTCGAGAGCTGAGCCATGCCTGCGCCATAGCAAAGAACCAAGTGGAGACGGAGGACCAGGTGTTGCCCCCACGTCTACAGGACATTGGTGATTACCACTTCCCTCTCTTCATTACCTCCAAACAGCTGTTGCTGATGCTGGACGCATCTCTAGGACAACCCTATTTTTTTGAGCGAGGAGAGGATGGTGGACTGAAGGTTGATGTTCAGGGCTGGACCGATGGCGAGGGCTTGCTCAGCATCCTTCCTCTCCTGGCCGAGGAATCTGATGACGAGGACGATGATGAAGGACAGTTCGATGATTTAGAGGATGATGATGACAGACAACAAGCTGCTAAAAGCAAAGTGAAAGTTGACCCTCGAAGAGAGGTTACTTACGATGTCTTCAGCGAGGAAATCTGGCCAAAGATTTGCAAGAAGTTTGGAGGAAAATACCATCCTTCACTGGTGTGGACAGAAATCATGTCCTTTATCAAAGGGTCATTTGAAGCCCTGTCAAAACCCTCTGGAATTTTAGGGAAGGAAGAGTACTTCGAACTCGGGAAGAAGCGAGCTCCCAATTTTACTGGCAGACGTACAGACATGTACGATCTCTTCAAGAAATATGACCATTTCAAGAAGCAGAAATTCCTGTTTGATGAGACAGACTTGGTTCGGTCGGTGTACAACCGCCTAAAGCAGGAGACCGATATCTCTTGGGTAATCCATCAGGTGTTCGTAGATGAAACCCAGGACTTTACACAAGCAGAGCTCTGTCTCCTCCTCCGAATCTGTCAAGATCCAAACCAGATGTTCCTCACTGGTGACACAGCTCAGAGCATCATGCGTGGGATAGCTTTCCGCTTCAATGATCTCAAGTCTATTTTCTTCTATGCTAAACAGTCACTACAGGCTCACGGCAAGGTATCAAATATCGAAGTCCCAAAGCGAGTGCACCAGCTAACTCATAATTATAGATCTCATGCAGGCATTCTGTTTCTAGCCTCTAGTATCCTTGACCTCATGGTCCGTTTCTTCCCAGAGTCTTTTGACCGGCTACAGAAGGACCAGGGCCTGTTTAACGGTCCACGTCCAGTATTGTTAGAGTCCTGTAGCTTCAGTGACCTTGCCATGCTGTTGCGGGGCAGTCGACGCAAGACGTCGCACATCGAGTTTGGGGCACACCAAGCAATACTGGTTGTTGATGAAGCAGCAAGGGATAACATCCCAGAGGAGTTACAGCTAGGACTTATTCTGACCATCTATGAAGCCAAAGGACTTGAGTTTGATGACATTCTGCTCTACAACTTCTTCAAAGACTCGCAGGTATAAATTCAAATTCTCAAAAAGTCTGTCTTTACTAGTGAGTGGATTGGCATATCTTCTCACAAAATGACGTCAAACTGATATGAAATCATAGCTCTTTTAAGATTCTCTCTGTAAAGAAATTTTTCCATCTGGATTGTAATGTGATAGTCCTAACTGCTGAGTCCATGAAAAAGTGCTAGAATAGAGGTCAGTGCTGAGAAAATGCTTGTAAATAGGCATTTACTTTTTTGCTAGAAGGGGAATTGAGCTGATGCCATGGCTCAGTGTCCTTCGTCCGTCTGTCCATCCGTCAACTTTTCCTTTAAAACGGTACCAGTCCTGAACAGCTTAGTGGACTTTAACTAAATTTGGTCTGGAGCATCCTAGGGCCAAGGGGACTCAAATTTTGTAAAATGGTGGATGTAGCCCCCCTTGGGGTAAAGGAGCGGGGCCAATAGGGGGAAATAATGGTAAAACCTTCAAAATCTGTCTTCTACTGTAAGAATAAAGGGGTTTTATCCTAATTTAGTCTGGAGCATTCTTAGGCCAAGGGGACTCAATTTTGTATAAATTGTGGGTGCTGCCTCTTCAGGTGCAGAGAGTGGGGCTCAAAAGGGGAATTTGAGGTTTAAAACTTAAAAATCCTTCTCCTTTTTGTAATTTATCCAAATTAGGCCTGGATCATCCTTGGGCAAAGGGGACTTAATTTTGCATAAAGGGTGGATATGGCCCCCTTGGGTGCAGAGAGGCGGGGCTCAAAAGGGGAATTTGAGGTTAAAGTCTTCAAAAAACCTCCTTCCTCTGTACCATTTGATGGATTTTATCCTTATCCAAATTTGGCCAGGATATGGCATCCTTGGGAAAAGAGGACTAACTTTTGTATAAAACGTGAGGGTGTGGCCCCTCTTTGGTACAGGGGGCTGGCCTCAAAAGAGGAATTTGAGGTTTACATTTTTTAAATCCTTCTCTTTCTGTACCATTGGAGGGATTTTATGTAATGAGAATAATTTCCCATGGGTGCTTTATTATCCAGGTGAGTGATACAGGCCCACTGGGCCACTTGTTCAGAATTTCTATGGGCCAACATTGTTGCATATGAACATTCCAGCTGGCTATTCTTTCAAAGTCAAAAATTTGTGAGAACACTGTAAATCTGTTGTAATTTGTTATAATATTTCTGCTATATAACAGAATCCATTCACTAAATCACTTAAATGCTGCAAAAAGAATGCTTGAAAAGGTGATTAAATTTTCTTATGAAAGTCTGTATAAATCATATAAGTAAAAACTTCTTTCAATCCAGGCAAACAAGGAATGGAGGGTTGTCACAGAGTATTTGGAAGAGCTGGCCATCGGAACTAAAGGAGCAAAGGGAGACAACTCCCCATCACACCAGGAAAGTCTTGTACAGATTGACGCAGGTAAGGGAAAATAAGGTGCTATTCCGATACTAGACATATACAATGAGAAAATAATTTTGTTTTGGTTTTGTCTGATGAATAAAGAATTCAAAATTAAGGAAACATTTACTGTATTGTTATTGATATCTATGGTTTTGTTGTTTCCATTGTTTGGCAGACGTACTACAGCAGACCAACCGACCTAGGGCCCTGAAGTTTGATAACAGTCTACACAAAGTACTCAACTCCGAGCTTAAACACCTGTACACAGCGGTGACTCGTGCTCGCGTCAATGTGTGGATCTTTGACGAGGACCAGGACAAGCGGGCGCCCATGTTTGAATACTTCAAGGCTCGCAAGCTAGTCAAGATCCTCAACAGCACAGATGTAGATGAAGGTAGTTAGCGTACCAGATTCATATTGATATCTTAAATGAAATTTGATTTCTAAATTAAACAGTTTTAAGTGTTAATGTACGTAACAAGCATCCTCCTCTAGCTTGTTTTAGAAGAAATGTTCAGGACTCATGTGAGTTTTACCCTTGTCAAGTATACAGAAACATGACGCAATCATATGAGTAAATAATCTAAAAACTAAGGCAATACAATATGAATCACTTGCTGTCATTATACCCCCGCAACAAAGTTAGGAGGAGTATACTGGAATCACCCTGTCTGGATGTCTGGATGTCTGTCGTCTGCAGTAACTTGTCTGGAAAACTCCTCCTTAATTAACAGGTGGATTTCATTGAAACTTTGCATGAATGAACAGTATCTTATGTAGTTGTGTACCGGCATTTTAATTTGGGATTTCGACCCTTTTTGATGGAGGTATACCCGCCCCTTTGTGCGAAATACATGTTACTATAGTGGCACACTTTGGATTGCTTTGCAATACTTTTCCTAAGTAAGCCTTTAGCTTACAGTTCTTGTTTATATAGCAGCGGGGGTATGAGTTAGCCTTTGGGTTACAGTTCTAGTTGTACTTGGTTTTTTTTTTTCTGTGAATACTCGCAAAATATTTTCTCAATGCTTTATTCCACCATCATGGGATGGTGGGCTGACATCTGTGATTCATTCGGTCAGTCATTCATTCCATCTAAAATTTATTTATTGTCTTGTAGATTGTTCAATGTTCCCTCACCCAACTTAATCTCACCTCAGACATGGCCTAAAAGTTTGACATCGCACTTTTTCACACTTTTAACACAATTGTCAATTTTGCTACATTCTTACAGTTCTCTCATCATGACTTGTCTACAGTAAGGGGACATTGATGACTTTCCTGGTTAATTTGTTTTAATTTATATTTTACAAATTGAGAAGCGCTGTCCAGATCATCACCATACAAATTTTATGTAAAAAATCTAATGTTTTACAACAAGTTAAAAAAAAAAAGTTTCACTTATCAATGCTGCATTCAAAAAGGAAGAATTTATTCCTCATCCTCTTTAAATGCATTGGATATAGTGGTAGTGCACTGAGAAACAATACGGTAACATGTAATTCTTTGTCCATGGCCTAGCTTCCTTTCAATGGCGGACTTAAGTTTTTGGCAGTGGCAATTCTGATCCTAGTTCTTGGAAGAAAGCATGAGAGTACTGATAGACTGGTAAAAAGTACAATTTAGCGATGTAAAAATTCATGATAACAGCAATATCTCATTTGTGCTGAAACAACGTAACAATATTTAATCGTTTAACCCCTAGAGAGCACAGATACCATTGGTGGTATGTTTGCGGAGGAATCCAGTCCAGAAGACTGGATTAAACGAGGTGAAGACTTCATGAAGCATGCTTTGTACGATGTTGCGGCGAAGTGCTTCATTCGGGGAAGAGATCATAAGCTACAAAGAGTGGCTCTGGCTCATCAGCAAGCATTAAAGGCCTCCCGCACAAAGGACAGTCACCAGCGCATGCGAGATGAGTTTCTGTTCGCTGCGGAGATGTTCCTAGACTGCTCTCTACCCTCACAGGCCGGCAAGTGTCTACAGAACGCTCGGGAGAGGGAGCTGGTTGCCCATCTGTTTGAGAAGATTGGCTTTGTAAGTACAAGCTAAGGCTTTGAATTAAAGAAATGGATGCTAGTGCCCTATATAGTAATCTAGTAATTTTGTTCCTGGCTGATAACTTTGGTATTTATTGACCGATTTACAAGAAACTTGGTCATTATGTTAAGCTCACAAAAATGCACACTGAGGTAAAAAAAATAGTCAAGGTCAAAGGTCAAGGTCATTAGGTTCAAACGTCAAGGTCAAATTTTTTATCTTTTCACTGATGAACATTTTGTTATGACATGATGAAGCAAAGTTGATCAGAATTAAACAAGGAGTCAACTGACAAAAGGTAAAGATCAAAGGTCAAATTTTGTAATTTTTCACTAATGAGTATTTTATGACATGCAGCAAAGTTAGTCGGAATTAAACAAACAGACACACTAAAGTAAAAAGTTGAGGTCAAAGGTTAAGGTCATTAGGTCCAAAGGTCGAGGTCAAATTTTACATATTTTCACTGATGAACATTTTGTTATGACATGATGGAGCAAAGTTGATAAGAATTAAACAAGGAATCAACTGACCAATGGTCAAGTTTATCGTGTCAGAGTTCAAGGTCATTGGGTCAAAGGTCAAGGTCAAATTAATATCTTTTCACTGGTGAACATTTCGTTATGAAACTTTGAAGCAATGTTGGTTTGAAATAAACAAGGAGTCATTTGACCAAAGGCAAGGTAACTGGGTCAAGGTTCCAATTTTGTTATGACATTATGAAGCATAGTTGATCGAAATTTAGCAAGGAGTCAAATGACTTAAGGTTAAGGTCACAGGGTCAAGGTCAAATATTGTATCTTTTTACTAGTGAACATTTTTTCAGCTGCTTTTGGCGAGAGTCGAGTGGCTTATTGATTCTGTCCAAAGAACGAAATGACGGACCCACTTCCGTTCGGGGTGCGTGCACATAATTCAGTCTTGCATTCTTCCGCTATCTAGTTTCGTTATCGTAAATAGAAAGTAGATGAAACCTGTATGGGCGGAATCATGTAGACGAAAAACCCTTCAACCAACCAACCAACCAACCAACCAACCAACCAACCAATAGAAAGTAGAATCTCTGACACCCAACTGTGGGTTACATAAAGTCTTCTGATACCCTTCTCCAAACAAAATGTTTATCTCCGGTGCATTCTACGAGTGTTGTGGTGGTGAAATTCGTGCACTGGGTTTGAGCGTTTTAGCAAGTGTTTGTTTTCGTGACTCTGATTCGAGAAAGCACATGTGAAGACTGTCGAGCATTGACGCTGTCTGTACGGTCTAGCTTTTTTAGGTTACCTGACCATAGGTCATGGTAACCTATTGTGATAGTCTTTTGTCTGTCGTTGTCCATCGTGTGTCGTGCGTTAACTTTTCCTTGTGAACACGATAACTTCAGTAAATGTTAACCGAGTTTGATGAAACTTTGTATGCAGCCATATATCAAGATGTAATAATATTATTATTGGACCTTGTGAACACGATAATTTGGGTAAATGTTAACCGAGTTTGATGAAACTTTGTAGGCAGCTATATATTAATAAGATATTGGACGAGTTCGAAAATGGGAATTATTCGACAGTAACTTACAGAGTAATTGCCCTTTGTAATAATATTATTATTGGACCTTGTGAACACGAGAACTTGAGTAAATGTTAACAGAGTTTGATGAAACTTTGTATGCAGCCATATTTCAATAAGATCCCGGACTCTAAATGGGAGTTATTCGACAGTAACTTACAGAGCTATTGCCCTTTATAATAATATTATTATTGGACCTTGTGAACATGACAACTTAAGTAATTATCAACCAAGTTTAATGAAACTTTGTATGCGGCCTTATATCAATAAGATCTCGGATGAGTTGGAAAATGGGAATTATTTGACAGTAACTTACAGAGTTATTGCCCTTTGTAATATTATTATTACACTATTTTGTATTGGACTTTGTAATAATATTATTATTGGACCTTGTAAACACGATAACTTGAATAAATGTTGACGGAGTTCAATGAAACTTTGTCCGGTTATTATTTGACAGTAACCTGCAGAGTTATTGCCCTTTGTCATTATATTATTCGCTCACCTGGCGCGGCGTCCGTCGTCCGTCCGTACGTCCTCGTCCGTCAACTTTTCCTTTAAACAACTTCTTCTGAAGAACGGACAGGCCTAGAGTCATGATATTTGGCTGAAAGCTTCTTTGGTAGGAGCCCTACAAAGTTTGAGAACGAAAATGACCTTGACCTGTTTTCAAGGTCACAGGGGTCAAATATGTCAAAAACTTCAAACGACTTCTGATGAAGAACTAAAAGGTATAGAATCTTCATATTTGGCTGATGGCTTCCTGGGATGGAGACCAACAAAGTTTGAAAATGAAAATTACCTTGACCTACTTTCAAGGTTACAGGGGTCAAATGTGTCAAACACTTCAAACGACTTCTTCTGAAGAACTGAAAGGTATAGAATCTTTATATTTGGCTGATGGCTTCCTGGGATGGAGCCCAACAAAGTTTGAGAATGAAAATTACCTTGACCTACTTTCAAGGTTACAGGGGTCAAATGTGTCAAACACTTCAAACGACTTCTTCTGAAGAACTGAAAGGTATA